TTTCCAGGGGAGGAATACTGCTGGAGTTCCCTCCAATAGTTTCTTGGAGAGAAAACCAAGCTAGTAAAATCCCTTCCCCCAATCCCTCCTAGCCCAACGATGAAGAATATTGTTGAGTAAAAATGGAGTCATACTCACAGGCAGCAGATATAAAAGAAACTTCTGAAAGCAGTGGTTGTACACAGAAAGAAGGAACTGCTTTCCTTTTTTTTAGACTTCATGCTTATTTGTTTAAACCACTAAGAGACATTTACATGTTACCCTTTTCTAGTCAGACATGAAAAAATAACGTAGAAATAAATGCAAGAACAAGTAACACCTCCTTCTAACTTTCAAGTTTAATTGTAACTAATGAAACACTTCAGCAAAGATCCATCACTTGATTTTACGTTTTTAAAGAAGCAAGGATTATGATCAAAAATTACTTCAGTAAGAGGTGGAAAGAAACAACAGAACCCCGACAATTATCTTTGCTTATTTTAAACCTCATCCCACACTTGACACAAATTTAGAACTGAATGCGGAATTACTCCTACTCTTCTCCTTCACTTATGACTCTTTGTTACCATGTTTTTCAGCAAAGGAGATTGTAAATGTTCCTTGTGAGGGTCCAGCGCAACAAGCAACACCTACAGTGTGTGCTGCAGGCAGTAGCCCCACCAGGTTGCTGCTGATGTGGTAACTAACAGTTAAAACTAATTGCTAGATTTAAATGAAGCCAGCTGGGAGGTAAAATACCTCCTGGTCAGGACAAAGATCTGTGTTACACTAACAGTGATGCTAAACAAGCCAGACATGAGTGGATTCTCAATCCTAACATTACAGAGATACATCCACAGAGTTAAGAGTGACTGAAGTACAGCTATGTCCATTCAGAGGGCACTGGCCCAGAGCTGGTGGTTTTAGAAGGTGGAGAGACATGACAAAAGACAAAAATGTGAACTTGTGAGCACTTGATGATTGATTTAGTCCTTCTGCAAGATAGAAAAGCCTTTTCTCAGCAGAAAATACATTTTTTTATTACTTTACGATGTCGAGGAAGAATCATATTGTGATGCTGTCTTGATGTTTGTGTTAAAAGTCATTGCTGAATCCCAGGCATATGCCAAGGGAAGTGCCTCTTCCATTCATAAAGACGCTGATTTAGAGGGAAGGCCACAGAGAGAGAAAACAGTATCACACAGGAAAATTAAGAAAGACATCCTGGCCTTAGAGAAACAAGGAGAAAAATTTCTTTTCTGGCTTCAGCAGGTTACAAGAATAATCAGACACAAAGCCATGCGTCCTGTGCATAGTAAAGATAAGCAATACAATGTGATGTCTCAAACCAGGGAATTTGTTGAAAAGCAATCTAACCCCAGAAAGCTGATGGGTAGACTAAGATATAGAGGAATACTGAAAAAGCTTCCAAAAAAGGCAAGGAAGACTTTGATGACACTACTTCTTGCACAGCAAAGCATATTTTCTTGGGAAATTTCAAAGATTGTCACAGAAAAATTTTAGACAGTGGCCAGTTTCTGATTTCACACTCAACACTGTCTGAAATTGGTGGTTTCTGATGGGTATGATCTGTGCTAAGTACAACCCAAAGAATTTTGCTCTGACTTTGGCCATCCCTGTGGTGCTGCCATACAGATGAAGACTTGAGGAGAAATACAAAGTATTACTTTTGCCAGGCAGCTCCAAAACTTACAGTCTTTGCTCAGCTGGGTTCCAGGAGATTTTCAAGAAAAATCAACTGTACTGACTTTTATGGAATTCCAATGTGCTTCTTGTTTCAGATGAAACAGTGCTAGTGCCATTATTTAATGTTCATTTATTATTTAATGAAAGACTGTGTGATGCTGATTTTCTTTCACCCTCTCAGCATGCATACTCAGACTATCTTTGATACTCCTACTACCTTTTTATTGTGGATCAAACCACCATCAAAGAACCCATACAGGAAACAAAATTAACTTAGATGCTTAAGTAACTTATACAATCTAGCCTGGGAGCAATGGGATGTTTGTACCTGTATTACTCAAAAGGACATCTCTAAACCAATAATGCAGCAGAGTCATGATGCAACCCTCTTTTGAACACTTCATCCTGCTTTGCAAAAGTAAGAATTTGCATTATCCTTTTCAATTCTGAAAAAAAGTTTGAACTGTTTTCCAATAATTTATTCATGCAATGTAATTAAAGCACGGAATCTGACCCAACTTAGCAGAGCATGATTTCCAGCTCTGTGGTTTTTTCCTCTGAGACTATTTGCTTACCAGTTATTAACACAACCATCTCCTGCTTTGAATTCTGGTACAGAAGAGGGTTTCCAATTAGTTTCCTTAAACTTAAAGGGAACTTTATTTTAGAACTCAGCTGAATGGAGGACTTCCATGAATCAGGTAATAAAGTAATTTGCAAGTTTTTCTTCTTGCTTGTTCACCAGGTTGGACATTATTGGTTTCTGTCTAAAATGCCCTGGCCAGCATTTCTTTTCAGTCCCTGAAGTATTTTTTGATGTTGTTTTTTAATACACCCTGTGCCTAAAGGGACAAATGCTTGGAAGTGTTTACATTTTTCACTTGTTTCTTGGAAATCGTGATCCGTAGATAAAAAAATACTTCTGGCAACAATAATTTGGCACTTCGAGCTTCTAGTCTTACTGACTGTTTGAATTTATTTTTTAAACCCATCACACATATGGTCCATCCATATTTTATTCTGTGACTTCCTTATTACTTAAAATAAATTGAGAATGATGGTGCTTTGTAATATTATTGCATTGCTACTGTCATGAGATTAAAATATATTTAATTTAAACAATGATTTCTTGAAAAAAATGAAAATGGAATTTTAAACCTATCTAGGAATTTGACTAGTCATCTCTCAATAAATCCAAAATAAAAATTTTAAATATTACATAGGATATTTCTGTATATCTCCTTGAATGTTAATATTAATCCTGTAACCTCAGTCTCCTGTCCACAATAGTTTATTTCATTTTTTATGAAAATTAGGCAGAATAATCCAATGGTCTTGAATCCAACAAGATTAGGACTTTGTGTTTGTTTAATCCAAGGCTCGTTCTCCATGGTTGATTTTGTGTTTGTTCCTATTTGACAATTAAAAGGAAAACTAAAGCTTTTCTTGGGTACAAAATCATGTGCAAAATCAGACCCATAATGTACAACTAAAACTGAAAATGAATGAATCATCCCGTGCCACTTCCCTGTACCAATTATTGTGTCCAGTATGAAAAACTGGTATTTTTGCAGGCTGGAGCACTCTTCATTGTTTTTCAGGATATTTTCACTTTCATTCTTTTTTCTGCAAAGAAACAATGTCTCTAGAGACAGACTATTGCTTGCATGCTTTCTAATCTGCATTTAAATCAGAACCTGTGACATATACCTATGATTAATTTCACACATTGCTTCAGCTCTGAGGTAGAACCACTGTTTTCTCACAGCATTATGTGACAGATGTCACGTGCTCTGTGTGTCAGAAAACCTTTTGAGAGAGACAGCTCAGCTCTTCTAGAGCCCAGGACCACAGCCCTAATCACAGGAATACGACTGTGTTCCAAGACTCTCTTAACAGCCCCTGATTAAAGAAGCTGGCATTCAAGGGACAGAAGCAGCAGGGAGAGATCTTTTTGCTTGTTTGCCATTTCCTAAGCCTGTGACTACTTCACTTTTATGTGGGCTAGCATGGGCCACAGCCACCTGAGGGGGCCAAGGAAGCATTTGCATGGATGCTGAGGGTCCAAAGGAGGAAAGTGGGAGAGGTGGAGCTGGCTGGATAGAGACAAAAGCAAGAGAGCCAAAGGCTTCTGAAGAGACCTTCAAGTCTTGTGCTGCACGTGTGTAAGAGTGTAAGACTCTTTTGGGGTTTTTTTTGCATGTGTGTGTCTTGCATTCCCACACCATAAAGCTGCTACCTCTGTCCTGATAGCTTCTGAGTTCCCAGTACCAGACACAGTTGAGCATGGATTGTACCTTAGCGTAGATTTGGTGACTCTGCCTTGCCTTTGCACAGGCAAAAATACCAGCTCTGCATTTACAGCCATGGGAGGGAATAACTGGAAGGAAAGTCCCCCAACTGCAGCCAGACACTGTTGCCAGAGAGATTTACTACCAGTGACTTCCGATGCATAACAATCTTCTCCAGAATTCTCTGCTTCTGGCTTGGTTCTCAATTAAATAAGGGCTTGACACTGTGAAACAAAGAATTTTTCCCACCAGCATTATATACAGGAAAGAGCAATTCAGGCTCAGGATTGAAATCACTAAATGCACTACACGTACACTGTTAGACACATTCCACTGAACTAAATTAGTAATTAATGGTATTTTCACCAAAAAGCTGAGCAAATACAGTAATAATAGTAAGTCAAATGTATAACATGATGAGACATGGATTTCAAAAGAATAGGGACCAAATTTGCCAAGGCCTCATGTATTTAGATAACTACCTCAACTCTTCTTTCCACTCAGCTGAGATCCCCCCAGCATTTACCAGTTATACCCTGACCTTAGAAGCTGAGCATTACTATCATCATGTCAGAGTTCCCTTCTGAAATAACAGGTGTTTGGTTAGAAGTTCGTCAAGTCAACTTTTATTTTTAACAGCTGGATTATCAACAGGCATTGAATATGTCCCTGTTTCCCTGTTCCCTTATGTGGGGTCCCTGCCCTGGGGCTCTGGTGTTTGCTGACTAACGAGACTGCCTGTAGCCTGTTCCCAGAACAGACCCCAGCCACAGATCAGAGTTATTACTGGAAACAGAAGAGGCAACACCCTGCACCAGCAGAGTGATAACTGGTTTTAGACAAAGGTTTTCAAGAAAGTTGCTACAGGCAGAAAGGTTATCTGCACTGGCAGAGCCCTTGCCACAAGCAGTTTGTGCTTCCTACAAGATCTTTCCACAAAAAGATAAGATTTTTTCCTGCACTTGGGCATTTCCCTTTGCTGCTCTGGAGGCTCCTCCAATGTCTTTAGCAGAAACATACCAGGCCTGCTTTCATCATTCCTATTTGAAGAAAGCCACTGAACAAGTCAGGCAGCTCTGGACTGGACCTGAGAGAATATAAGGAACACACAATTTTCTAGACAGCCACCAATATTCAAGCATGGAAGAAACATTTTTTATTATTGCATTCTGATTGCTTTATTGCAAAAGCATGTTATGAACAAAAAAGTAATGCAAAACTCATGGTGGATTTCACTTTTTCTTAACTGTTTTACTGTAAGCATGTATAATGGCCCCAAAAATATTTTTGTTGAAAAAACAAAGAGCCAGCATGGCATAGGTTTTAACATCCTTCTGCTTCTTAACAATAAAACAGACGATCATGACGTTTAATTTTTCCCTTTACTAGCTTAAAAATTTCCATTTTATCTCATACTTTTTATGCTGAGAGATACTTCAGAGAGTTTGATTGTGCGAGCAGTGAATAGAGACCTGGATTTTTTGTTGTTGGTTGGCTTCTGTATATACAGAATTCAATTATGGAAAATCAGAATGTTCTCCTTGCTAAACAGTCTCTACAGGTCCTCTAGTGAAATATCCTCAACCATGCAACCTAGTCCACCACCTGGTTCAAAGAATTTTCACTGGAGATTCACAAAATTACTGTCCCAATGATGGATCAACACTACCCTTGGATGAGATTAATAAATTGGGAAGTCTTAGTGCAGGCTCCAAGGGGCCAAAATAAAAACAGGAGGGATTAAAGAATTTCATTGTTAGCAATTTGAGTAAATACAACAAGGGCAAAGGGCACACAAAACCTGGACTATACTCTTAAGGCTTGGAGATAGCAAAAGGAATCTGACAGGATAGTGTGTGGGACAGCAGGGATTACCACTGCTTGTGTTGCTGCTGCTTGAATCAAAGGCAAATGCTGTCTGCATTTTTATTGAATAGCTGACCTGCCATGTATCTGATGGCATGAGTATGCCATGGGAACACTGATATTGTTCCCAGTTTGGTTTATATTGCTCCAGAAACAGTTAAAGGAAAAAGATGTCACTCACCCCAAGTATATCTGAGAAGACCGTTTATCAGCCTAATTATAGTGATTTGAATTCATGCATCATGATACATCTATGTGGGTTCCCTGCAGATTACATTGGAAATGGAGCTTCTTGAAACAAGTCAGTGACAATCATTTTACCAGTGTTACACACAAACTGGTAGCTGAAGCAGATTTTTGCTGTATCACTAAACATGAATTATTGGAATTTCCCACAGGAATATATTGCTCTGAATTAACAGCCTGGAAAAAAAAGAAGCTTCTAGCCCTGGTATGCTGAGTGGCATCACAATGTGATTGTGAGGTGTCAATGGCAACTCTAAGCTATTAGGGGAAAAGATGCTTTTTCCTGGATCTAGCCATAAGTGCTTAGGTGATTTGCAAATGGAGCCCTAAGGACTCCAGCAAGCAGCAAAACAGATCCTCTGAAGAAAGTCAGTTGCAAAGCGTCCAGCTCCTAAACAAAGAGATTTTTGAGATTTTTTAAGATCTTCTGAATTTCCCCCTCCCCCCCCTGCCCAGAACTCCCAAAGAGTTGAAGTTGTTAGGAAAGGAGCAAGTCACATAGGATGCACATGAAATATCTCTGTTCACTAGACTTCACTGCAGGAAGAACTGGAATTATAGGAAATAACCCCAAAACATGCCAACAAGGCTGTTCTGTGGCCCAAAGCACTAGGTTTTCTCCCCATGAGGTGCCAGCTCAGAGAGCTGCTGCCTCAGACAGAAGTCAGTGATGTGACTTGGATGTCACTGTGACTGGCAAGGACCTCCACTGCTGGAGATGGGCTCTGCTCTGCTCGAAGAGGAAGGGCAAAGCATGGTGGAGGAAATGACTGTAATGGAGAACAGCAAAATTAAATACTGTTGTGGAAAGCTTCATGTGCAAGCCAGGGAAGCACCCTGATGGGGGGTGGAGGGTACAGCTGGCATAAGGAATATGGCAGCTGATGGTATCCTTGCCACGCACAGGACAGGGCTCTGTGCCTGCTCATGCCTCACAACCACTCTCATGTTAGGATTAGATGTTAGCAAGAAGTTCTTTACTCAGAGGGTGGTGAAGCATTGGAAAAGGTTGCCCAGAGAGCAGTGGCTCCTCTTCTCTGGAAATGTTCAAGGCCAGGGTGGATGTGGCCCTGACCAAACTGATCTAGTGGGTGGCATCCTGGCAGGGGGCTGGAATGAGATGATCTTTAAGGTGCCTTCCAACTCAAGCCATTCTGTGATTCTGTGTTCTCACACATGCCATGATGCATAGCAACTCATCTGCTGCGCCATCTGCTGAGCTGCCTGGTGCTCAAATTAGGACTGCGACTCCTCTTTCCTATGTGCAGCATTTCAGATCATACACCCTCTTCAATGCAAACCTTGTCCTGCTTGATCCGTTACATGATCCATGACTGGTAGGATGGGAGGTGTTTGGCAGCCTTCACATTGTCTCTCACCCCTCAGATCACTACCCTCACCTGGGGAGAAGAATTACATGCACTTGCCTGCGCTCTACCTGCTGCCCCATCAAACAGGGTCATCATTTCAGAGATGGTGCAGGAATCCCCCAGCCAGGAGCCATCATCTGCTTTTGCATTCTGTATTTCTAGGTCCCCAGCATACCACTGGCCATGAGTCATGCAAATTTTATGCCAGGCAAAGCAAAAATGGCTGCATCATACATAGATTTAATCTCTCAAATAGAAAGTGAGACATTTCAGTGACAGTTTACTCTTTTTAAGAAATTACCAATTTTTCTACAACTCTGCTTTTATTTCTCACTGTAATTCTATCTGGCTGAAATATCATTTTGTGGAAATTTTTGTGAGTGAGTTGTTATACAAAATGAACTGAAACTGTGCATATTCATATCCATTCATTGCCTCCAGTTTCCAATCAAAATCTGGTAAATGCTGCAGTTCCCATACCACATGCCATCTCTCCCAGTGTCACTGGAGCTACCAGGAGCACTGATAATAATGGCAGATCTGGGGGTTTCCACTGGGATGCAAAATCCTCCTACCTGCTTTTCTCTTCCCACTCTCTTGTTGCTGAGGACCATGGCTCTGTGCTTGATCTGCATTCAGCCAATTCATAGAAAACCTAAAGAGAAAGGCCTCGAGCTCAACTTGACGTTCAAGTTCAGTGTTTAAAGGCAACAAGACATCACCAGTCACAAGGTACTGTTGTTACTAGAAAGAAATGTGTAGGAAAACAATTCAGATCATTTAAATGACCGTAAATATGATCATAATGGGTTAGAATTTGCGACTACAGTTTTTAGCTTCTGGTTTCTCTCTAAGCTCCTGTTTTGCTAAAGAACATGAGGTGACGTTTCTATTTCAAGGGTCTTTTTCTGATGAGTCTTAGTACTTTGTACATGAAACATTTTCAAAGAGGACAAAGAGGTATTCCAAGCAGATTTGTGTAAACTCATAAAGGCAAATGAAAGCTTCAGATCTAACCCTCCAGTCCAACTGTGCACCTGCCTGATTCCAGCAGCTTATTAAAGCCTGTGCTTACTTGGCCTTTATATTCTTTATGAGTGTATTTGACTCTGAAAAGAAGAAGTTTCATGCTAGATAGTATAGACTCAGTTGTAATGTAATACCATATTTTGCTGCTGTTAGCGTGCAGGCTCATGTGCTTTTCTTGTTATCCCAGTAAGGAGCCATTGAACATTGTGCACTATGAACTAAATCTAGAGTGATTCTGCCAAACCATGTTTCCACTCAAAATAGATACTCCGACTGCAGCAACCCCAGCTGGAAGTCAGAAGTGACCAGCTGCCCTACAACAAACTGATCTTAGGCTTTATGCCCATTAATAGTGTAAGGTCTTACATCTGAGTGCTTTGTTCTTAATATTTTATTCATATGCATGAATAAAATCATTACTAAAATTTACAACAATATGCTCATACAGAGATCCCAGCTCCATTTCCAAATCCAGTAAACTCAAAGAATAAGTCAAACCTATCTGTGGGTGCACAGTGAGCACAACAGAATTAAGAACCATTACTGCTGATGTCTTCACATAACCAAGGTTGCTAAACTACAGGGAAATCATTCCTTAGACCTATCACTGGGGTGCATCTCTATGACTACCCTTCTCCATCACTGTGTTCTGGAAAGGACTGCATGGCTACAGCTTCACACAAGCTCCCCTCGACTCTTCACCTCCCAAACTTACGTTGCCCATTCTCCAGTGGCAAATTTCACTACAGCATCTCTGACCCCACGACAAAGTATAAGTGCCACAGTGAGGGGAGTTTGTAGTGACTGAGAGCAGCAATGTAAATATGCTTAATCTTCATCCAGCTAACTACAGCTTATCTGAAAGCTGCCCATGTCTGCCAGGTTCTGCCTTGGCACAATTTCATCCACTTTAATGATCAAGCTGTTTGCCCCAGCCAAGAGCATAGGCAAACATCCCTACAGCCCATATGGACTACTCTAATGCATAAACTGCTTTAATCTATCAACCAGAAAAACAAGTTTACTTATAAGTTTTAGAAGATCATTTCAAGGACCTGGAAATATAATGAAAGGCAAAAAGGTCCCTTAGGAGGACAACATAACAGAACTGCAGAAGGCATAATTCATCCTTCATTCCACTTAGCAATGCTGCTGGTTGCTGGTTAACACTGGGCAGTTTGATGAGCATATGCAGTACAGGCCTGGAAAGGACAGGCTGTAGAACACTCTTCTCCCAGCTGCAGACTTCTGTGGAGAAAATGCCTGGTAAAATCTTATTCACTCTGAAGAGAGATAAATCATAGTAATTGCACTTTAGAGTTTGAGAAAAATGCAGTCTCTGGCAAGGATAAAGGATCTAATGGTCCAAATGAGGGCTTGAACTGCACAGGGGATAAGAAAGCCTCTAACACCCTCTCCTTCAGTGTGAGGCTGAATACCGGCTATGGTAGAAAATAACCAATTGTAGCAGCAAACTTGTGATGAAAGTAAATAAACAATCCTGATGGAACCTAAACTACTTGTTTTCTGACACAGAAAGTCAGACACACCCCAAGGTCTAAGGCACTAGGGGTTGGCTTGGGGCAGAAAATTAGGAAAGTATCTTATTGAAATTCCCTAACACACAAAGAAATTAGAGGCCTCATATTGTGTCACATGAATAATTTGTTTATAAGTAAACATACATATTTAAAGAGAAGATCTTCCACATTAATTATAAATCTGCTAAATTAACTCACTGCTCAGTGCCATTCCATGTCCCACCTCCTGCCAGGGAAAGGTCTGGCAGCGTCCAGCTGCTCTGCTCTGCTGTGGGCTCAGAGATGCTCCCAGGAGCAGCAGTGCCAAGGGCAAGGCAGGGCCCATTAGGGCACTGTGCCTGCTCACAGCGGTGCTGGGAAGGGTGAAGGATTTGGTGCTCAAGGAACACAGCCCTGAGCTTCCAGCATCAGCCATATCTTGGAAATAAAATCAGAGGCCTCCCTCTGCAAGTAAGGAGGCTGCTGGGCTCATTCCTGGGATAGGGGTGCTTCTGCCTCAGTTCACATGGGTGGAGGGAGGGCTGGGCTATACTGTTCACCTAAGTGGTTTGCAGTGCCCCCCATTTACTGAATCACCCCTTGGAGCTTGAACTAGAGCTCCTGATGCCAAGGTACATCAGGAGCACATAAAGGCAGCAGAGGAGGATGAAATGGCCCTGCTCTTGTGGAGGATAACAAGCCAGGCTCACAAAGATGTTCAGGTAGCTGAAACTGCAGGCAGGTACCTGGGGCTACTCACAAAGAGCCTGAGCACATTTTTGTACATCTAGTCTTTGAGAACCTGCCAGTCTACCCCAAAAAGGACAATGGACTCAAATTTCCTGAGTTTGTTTTTTTCCTCAAAGCTTATTCCCTCTGACAGTGAATTTTCAGCAGTCCCGGTGTCTTTTGATACCTCCAAGTAACTGCTCAGTTCACAGGAGTGTGAGGTGCCAGTGTTTTACTATGCAAATTTGATCTTGCAAAGAACAAAGCCAAAAGGCTTAGAAATCCCAAGGTGTCATTTTTTTATACTCTGACATGCTCAGAAATTCTGTTGCAATTTCCTTCTAAGTAGTCTAGGGATAAGGAGATTGAAGAAAATAATAGGAAGTAAATAAATAATTACAGATTTAATATTTTTTTCTTTTTTTCTTTTTTATCAACATGTCCCAAATGTCAGTTTTGACCCAGCTTTCTATTTCTGGCATGGACTAAACTCCTTCTATTTACTTAGCAGCCTACACACCATTATAGTAACATAGCAACAGTAGTTTCAGTTGTGAATTTGAAAAAAAAAAAAAAAAGAAAGTAAAAAAAGAACATATGAACATATTAAAATTGTTGAAGCATTGCAGTCTAGTAACACTTCAATAAATGCTGGTTTTTTGGTTTTTTTTTCTTTAAATACCAGAATTATTAATCTTCCATTCTGCAAACCCAAAGGAGAGGGATGCACAGGGGAATCAGTGTCACCACCATGAAGTCTGTTCTTCCTATGCTGATTTGATTGTCCCCTAACCTTTATGATGTTTCAGCTTGACTATTTATCAGGCTCAGAGCAGATGAAAGCATGAGTTTGGGGAGTATTCTGAAATAATGATGGGGTTTATCTGGTGGTTTTGTATCACTTATCAAACTTAGTTCACCATTATTTTATAATCTATAGCTCAAGGCTGATGTGATAGTTATCTATCAAAAATAAATATTTGAAAAAGTATGAAGTGAAACAGTAACAGGAGTAATGGGAGTAACAATCCTATTTTCAGTTGACAGTCCAAACCTCACTGTTTTACTGGGAAAGTTAACCAGTGAAAACCTGTAAAAGTAGCCCTGGAGTCAGGGCCCAGTGAAAATATGTTGCAAACCTTTTTTCAGTGGGAACAAAGCACTTGAAAATAATAAAGAACCTAATTCTCTGAGCTACTAGATTGCCTCTTATTTTTAAACCTAAGGCCTCAGTGAAAATGCAATTATTTTCTTTGGATGGGTTCAAAATGTTGAACTTATTAAAAACAAAACTTCTTAAGCTTGCAAAGCTTCCACTATAAATATTAGTAAACAATACAGATGATATAGCTGGAACAGCAGTGAACACTTTGTGAAGAAGTGTATCACTTCTGAAACTGTTTCTCCACTGCTACTGTAAACTCAGCTGGCATCTCTTCAGATGTTTCTTCTCCTCCCACAGTGATCTGATCAGCTCAATCACCTCTGAATGCCGGGGGCTTTTGTGTAGAACCGGCAACAGCCCCTGGAAGAGCAGCTTTACAGCAGGCACACAAAGCCGGCTTTCCCAGTGCTTAGAAACCCAGGACTCTGCAATCAAAGACAAAGTTCATGGATTTACTGCTCAGTTTGTAAAGTATGCGAGTAAAACATACTTCATGCTTGTTCTGAACTATTGGCTTCTCCTTGACATGACTAGTTTATCTCAGCTTGAAAAAATGACTCCACAACTGCAAAATCCTTGAACTTCTACAAACAGTTTGCAAGTCTGGTATGTAAAAACAGATTGTTCACAAACTACATGCTCTGCTGACATTACAACAGTTGCAAAGTTAGAAAGGGTCCCCTTATGGCCATTATTCTGTCCAACAGAAATATGAATACATAACCCATGGTCTCAAGACTTGAGAGTCACAGGATGAATATTTATCACTAACAGGCTTCACATAAAATATTGTCTTTTAAAAAAAAATTGTCAAAAATGAGCCAAAAGCTTTCATATGACAATCTAAGTTGTTTAAATTAACACTTTCATTTAAGTAATTTCAAATTCATACTAATAACAACATTGTACTGCCTTTCTGTAAAATGCTCTATGAAAAGGGATCCTGGATAACTGAAATGTGAAACTGTTCATGGCTTTTGTGGAAAGCTACAATGCTGTTTTGACTGCAGGGGTCAGGTGGGGTTTTTGGCATCAGGAGGGAATGGAATAACAAAATCTCTAAGAAATCTCTTTTCTCATTCTAACAATTACAAAGCTATGAATGAATTAGCCTCAGAAAGGGAGTATTTTTCTGGCACAAAGACTAGGCATCGGTTTTGGTTTATTTTGAATACTAAGCTGCAGCAGATTTTAAAACTGAGTTTTGCATGG